CTTTCCGAGTTCAAATTTGTTTGCACTCGGCGATACATGGTTTTCCTGTTTAGAAGAGAAGAGAAAAGGCCTTAAAAAGCTTATTAGAAAAACTGAAAAGGTTTCTTGGACCTTGAATCCCTGTTGCCAAACAACATTTTGATGAATTAAGTGTAAATAAATCTGAAACATACGATTAAATTTCCATTAAAAATGCACAGGGGTTTAAAACTTATGAGGAAAACATTTGGGGCAAAGCAAGCTTTATGCTTTGCTGACCCTGTGGCCCTTGAGAAGTGGTCGGGAGCACACAAACCACCCCTCAGCTTGCCAGTGGAGCACAGATGCCCTTCCCGAGGTCCTAACGCGACGCCCTCACCTTTAGTGCGTCATTCACCATCCCAGAGTTCTGCCACAGAAACCTTCCTCTGACCATCTGGCATGCTCCCCTTCCGTGCACCCTGGAGTCTGGGCCCAACCCTCCTGAGGGTGTGCTGCCAGCACTATGATAGATTTGGCCACTTCCAACTACTCAGAAAATGGAGAAGCATATGTGGCAAGCACGGAATGGGAGTGGGTCCCCCAGGCCTGCACCTAAGAAGTATCTTGGGAGACCCTTTCCACTGTAAAAAAAAAAAAAAAAAAAGAATTGGATTTTCCATGCATTCATTGAAGCAGCAATTTTGGTCATTTGTCCCTCTTTACTACACTCTCACCCAAACTCTCCCCTTGGCTTGCTTCCACAAATACGGTCAGTGCACCAATGAAGCACTGCAAGCCCATAGATGACATTTTCAAACTACACATGGAAAGCAAGCAAGGAGCATGGGCAGAAAGGTTCTGACACATGCTCATTTTCCGAAGGAACACAGTCCTGCATTGTGGAAAGAACCTTCAGAGGAGTTTCCAAAGGGTAATGTTAGCGTCTGCAGGTGCTCCAAAAAATCCTAGAGGCGTAGAACTGGAAAAGGTCTTGCAGGATTATCATCTCTCATCCATCCTCACTTTACAGATGATGAAACTGAGACCTACATAACCTGAAGAGACTCACAAACATTACACAGTTGGTAGCTGGTCTCCTAAGCCTGAGCCTACTGCTGTGTTTAGGAGCCAGGCTTGCTGTTTGTCTACCCTCCAGCCCTTTGATTGCTTATCTGTTTAAGGGGCACACAATAGGAATTTGAACTTGACGGAAGAATCCTCTAGCTAAATGATTGTATAGTTAGCTTGTAACCATCTGTAGCAAGGAGACAAGCAAAAGAGAAAGTGGCAATTCATATGGAGATGTTCTTTGTCTTGGGAAGAAAGACACAGTATGACGCGTTTCACAGACAGAGATGGGTATTAAAGAGTGGATGGATGGCACCCAGGACCTGAACGTGCTGGGTGTCACTAAAGAATGATATTGGCAGTAGAAAAAGCACGTTTGGGCTTACATTAAAAGGGCACTGCCTGCCTCTGGAAGTGACGAGAGAGAAGCTACTCCCCTCTTTCCCACTCTGTGAAGCTCTCTGGAGTTATCCCCTGGAGTGAAAAATAGAGGCTATGACCCAAAGGGCCGATGAGGAAATCCAACACCAGCTCAGACCCTTTCAAGGTCTCTGTTCTGAGAAGAAGCATCTCAAGAGTGAATATTTCAAGGAGGAGGTCAGAGAAGTGGGCAATTCTGTGACAGGCTGGCCTATGGCAGGCAAAAAGCAACTTCTACTGTACTCTGCCATCATATAGCCACTGTCCCAACTCAGACCCAACAGGGTGGAGAAACAAACCCTACTGCTCAGTGGAGAGAATGACAACAAATGTGTGGCCATCTTCAATCCACCACAGAGCATCCTTCCTTTTTTTCCTGTGTTTTTGTCACATGTATTAAAGTAGATAGCCATAGTGAGAGTGACACGTTAGCTCTGCGGAAAATCATCACTGCAGCTCAGTGTAGACACGGCTTGGCTCCTTTCCTGAGTAGTTCTATAGTAAGAAGGATGCCAGAAGTACACATCCTTCACCCCTTTCCACATTCCCACCCTTTACCAGGTAATTTCCCAAGGTACAGCACTCTGACGCTGGGCTTAATCACATGATTTACCTCAGCCAATGAGATATTAGCAAATGTGATGCAAGAAAATTTGAAAAGCACCTCACAATAGAGCTCGCCCTCCCTTGCACAGCTCTGCCAACAATGTAAGAATTCCTGGCTCACCTTACAGGAGATATGAGACACTTAGCACAAGCCAAGTTGTCCCGGCTGAGGCTGCCTCAGATCACTGAACAGCAAACTACCCCAAGAGGTGAGGATTCCATGCCAAAATCAGCCTCCAGCCAATCCGCAATTAACACAAAAGAAAGAATAATAAATGCCAAATATGCCAAGGAGGTTGTATAGTTTTTTTATTGCTAACCATTAGTGTGACTGTAGGTAACCAGTAGAGGAAGAATGCCGGGACCGGGGATGTCTAAGAGTGGTCAAGGCTGTTGTCAAAAAAGTGAAAGGAAACAGAAATCAAACTCGACATTTTTTCAGTGTTTGCCCAAGGCCAACCCTGACTGTTGCTATGAACACTTATTAAATATCCAACTTATTGAACCATAGGTATTTCACAGAAGTGATTCATTTGCAGCAGGAAACCATTTGGCACTGAGAGAATGGGGCTTACAAACAGCTTGTGATAACAACAGGAAAATGCAAAGAAAGAGCCCCATTTGGTTTTGCTGGAATCAGTCATATCCATAGGCACTTGGGGTTGAACACAGCTCAGCAGAGTCCAGAGCAAATGACAAATGGGGCCACTGAGTGCTTGTACACCAGGGGGGACTGAGGCCTTTGGCTATGGTTCATTAATGAGACTAAGGTTTCTCCTTGAAAACCTGGGCAGCAGCTCTGAGAGTCTTTCTAGGGATTTAATCTTGACTTTAACAGGCAGATGTAAAGGTTCCTTTTGTCTACGTTCGGGTGTTTTGCAAGGTTTTAACCATTGAGCTTATTTATTTTCTTTGCCATAAATTATAAGCATAATGTGTGTGCACATAATATATGTGTATAAGTATATAACTATATACACATCTGTGTGTCTGAATATATATCTATCTCAAACCATGTGAGTATACTAGGGTTAGTCCTATAGGAGCTATAATAAATAATGGAAAATGCATGGAGCCCTTTAAAAATGTTAATAATCCATGATTCATTCACATTGTCTATGACAGCCACACAGAAATTATAGCCTCCTTGCAGGTGCAGTTTTACAGATACTGCTATCTTTTCTTCCCAGCAAACAGCCTCTGTTATCATGACGACTGTAAATTGTCTTATTATGTAACACACTGCTCTGAGCTTAGGCAATCCAGTTTTAACAAGAGGTTCTTAGCAGTGGATAGCTTTTTTCCATTGCAGATATACCTCAAAATGTGTGACACCATAATGTATGAGCAAAACCAAAGCTAACTATAAATTTAGAAACAATAAAATAAATTAAATTCCCATGGTAACATTAAATACTTGCCTTTTAGCCCTCCTTCTTTCATTTAAAGTCTATAATTCAATAAAATATGCACATATTCACACGAATGAACAAATGGTTATGTAACCAATAACAGGAGAGAGTCCCACTCAGTTTCTCAGGCATCACAGATGTGTGGTATTTGATACATGATGCTCAAGGTCATAAACTTGAACACAAAAATGAATATATAGAAGCTGAGGACACAAATTATTAACATAACACATACTTAGATGCTTTTTTTTGAACATCTAATTAACTTTTATTATAGAATGCGCAAGTATATACACAATTCTGATGGTTGGATCCATAACACTTTGCTTAATGGTCTTTATGTGCCCTCTTTACAATGACAGCAACAGAAACATTTTTTTAAGAGCAAACAATCATTTGGGGAGTGGTACCCAAGTGGACAGATTTAGTCAGGTACTCAGTCTCCCTGAGCTTTGAATGCTTAAGTAGGGAAGAGAATTGGAGCGGGAAGATGGACCAATTCTAAAGATCTCACCAGATTTACATAGCTTTGAGTTGTCCTTATGGAATATACTGTCCTCTAGGCAGACAGGGAGCAGGAGTGGAAGCCTGCATCAAGAAACTGATCAAAACAGATCGGCAGTTTTCACAAGACAATTATCTATTTCTAGTATCCACCCCCACCCAGGTACCAAGGACTGAATCCTATGCCTTCACACTAAGTTACCTCTACAGTCCCTTATTAGTTTTTTGTTTGTTTGTTTTTGTTTTCAACAGGGTCTCAAAAAGTCACTGAGTTGAGGATATAGCTCAGTGGTGCTTCACCTCCCCAGCAAGTGCAAGGTCCTGAGTTTGATACCAGGTGCCAGAAAAAAAAAATTACTAAAGCTGGGCTCAAACTTACAATCCTCTTGCCTCAGCTTCCCAGAGTGCTAGGATTACAGGCGTGTGCCACCACGTTCGGCTCCAATACTACTTTTTGTATTTAAGCTTCAAAAGTCTTTGGGACAATCTTTTATACAAAAATATACAAGATTATTCAAAAACCAGGTCACTTCCAAATATACGTTTAGAATAAACAACCTACGCTCTGCGACTGACACTTAAGGAAAGCGTAGGGTGCAGTGGCTTACGCCTGTAATCTCAGCTACTCGAGAAGCTGCTACAGGAGGATGGCAAGCTCAGGTCTCACCTGGGCGATTTAGGGAGGCCCTCTCTCAAGCACAGGGAATACAGATCCCTGGCTTTGATCCCCAGTTCCATGAATGAATGAATGAATGAATGAACCAAAAACACCATGTATCCAAGGGATGATTTAATACATCAGGTTCTCCCCTCCATGTAGGGACATTTATTCCTATCCTTGGTCTGAAATTCAGTTATGAAATTTATCTTCTACCTGGGTGTAAGGGAAGCCTCCTCCCCTCGTCCTTCTCTAGTCTCTCTCCTGGTACATTCTGGGTGGCAACTAGTTTGTTTTTTGTTTGTTTGGTACCAGGGATCAAACTCAAGACCTTGAGCTTGTGAGGCAGGTGGCAGAACCACTGAGCTAAATCCCTGGCCCAGCAACTAGTTTTTTTTATTTAGAAATATCAGAACAGTAGGGTCACATCAAAGAATATTAATAGTCATTCTTGACTTCAAAGGTACCAGGCCTGGTGCTGAGTGAGTTACATCATCATCTCACCTAAATCTCTCCAACACCACTCCCAGGTTTGTGTTAACTCCATGTGATGGGTTAGGGAGCCTCATACGTCATGGAATGAATTTCTTTGTCTGGATGTGGAGGTGACTTGATCAATATCAACCAGCCAAGAATTAATTGTCAGGGATAAGAATAAAATGCCCTGGCCACCAGACTTCTTCTTTTAAAAGGTCACTCATAAAACACTCTGCAAAGGTAGGAATGGGTCAGTGCCTGTGGAAAAGAAAATGCCACTAGCCATCCTTCTCTGGGAAGAGCAGATGCCCATCTCCCGATCTCCAAACTCCCCTCTCTTCCCATCTTATCTTGCCACCCTATCCCACCACCCAGCATCATGGAAATCTGCTGAGCTGCCTCCCATATTCCCATGTAAGGCCAATCCCCTATCTCTATTTTCCTGTCTTACCTGAACATGCCAGGGGATATGTATTTGGTGCCATCCTGCTATTGGTAAAGTATTTCCAAGCTTTGCCAAGTTGGGTTTGGATAAACCTGCAAGACATTTTGCCCCGAGCTTTTTCCCATAATTTTAAACCTACATGTATTTTATGAGAAATTTAATCCGTATGTTTCTGATTAATTTGTGAGAGTCATTTGATGTCCAAGGGCCTTTTAAATTTTTATAAGCCTTTTAAAGACTTTCACTGAGACATGTTCTGCCAACAGAAAATGAACTTAGATCCCCTATACTTCAAGTTCAGTCCCAACCTGAACAATGATGGGACTGTCTGCTTAAACTATTTGTGTGCTGCTCTAAACAGATCATTCACAGCTGCCCCAGGTGTAACTAAACCATCGCTTCTTCTTCACTTATAGCCCCAGTGAGCTGGTGCTTATCACATTTATGGGCTGATGGCTAAGTTTCATTGCCAAACACATATCTCGGGATTTAACCTATGTCTACATCCAGCTACGAGAGAGATTCTTACAGTAGAGATGGATGGTTAATCCAGTAAGACATTAGAATCAATTCCAATAGAAAATTAAAGATTTTCTCCTTACCAGGTAGGATTGTTTACATATTGACAATCTAGTCTCTACTCACAGTTCAGTAATTTACAATGTACTAGCTATGTGGCCTGGATAAGCTACTTAACATCTTTGTGCCCCTGTCCCTTTAACTGTCAAATATAAACTGTGATTTATGACCATTTTAAGGATTAAAGATATATCTGTCAAGTGATTGAAATATATTAGACCAGTGGTTTCTAAGTTTTCTTCTGTAGACAGGATGATGGTGAGGAGATAAATAGGAAGGAAGGAACAGATAGAATAGGATAAGACATATAAAAATCATCTGTGAAGTATATTTGAAACGCAAATTCCTGGACCTTACTTCAAAAGGCTACTTCAATAGATCTAGGGTAAGGCCCAATAATCTGCATTTTTAAAAAAATAATACAGATGAACTAAGAACCACACTTCAAGAAACAATAACTTTGGGCCAGGGGTTTTGGTGCTGCCTTCCTCGAAAGTGCAAGGGGCCTGAGTTCAAGGTAGGAAGGAAGGAAGGAAGGAAGGAAGGGAAAGAAAAAGAAAGAAGGAAGGAATAACATAATATTAGAGGAGATAGAAAAAATGTAATAGATTTTTAAAGAGATAATAATGATGACAATGAGAAGAAGCTGCCAAATTAAACAAAGGAAGATTACAAAACACTTTAGGAAAAAAATCATGCAATACAATTTCTGGACACCTGATTAATTATTTGTAGTTCTCCAAGGAGAAATATAAATTCCTGGAGGTATTCTAGTTAATATTCAGAATGAGTGCAGTCAGCTATATATTGTTGATAGGGGTATAAATTGTCATAACCATTATGGAAAGCAATACGGAGATTCCTGAATAAATTAAAATAGAACCATAGTACGACCCAGCAACTCCACCCGTGGTTTATACCCAAAGAAAATAAAATCACCACTTCATAAAGATCTGTGCCCCACAATCACCACAGCATTATTCACGAAAGCCAAGATATGGAAATAACCTAAGAATGTGTTGACTGATGAATGGATAAAGAAATTGTGGTACATACATAATATACTGTATACATAAACATATAAGGTATATACCTCATATATGTATTTATAGATAAATAAAACTGTATGTTTATATATAAATACCATATATAATGGGATATTATTCAGCCACACATAAGAAGAATATTCTACCATTTGCAATAATGTGGATGAACCTGGAGAATTAATGACATAGAAAGAAAAATACTATGTGATCTCAATTATATGCAATACCTAAATTTAAAATAAAGAAGTCCCATTGTGACATTGGTCAAAGGCTTCTGTTATTACACTGTTTCCTTTTTGGTCTATGTTGCTTCATATCAGTCACTTTGTCACTTTAGACAACTGCTTCTTCTGAGAGACGCCACTGAGCTAAATCCCTGCCCCAACCACTGCTTCTTCTGATTGAGTTCTAGCTTGGCCCAAAGGGAAACAGTTCAAGAAGAATCAAGAATATTCAAAGAAAACAGGATTAGTTCTGCCCTAATGTAAAAGTACTGGACCACTGAATAAAATTCTCATAATCAGACACAAAAGATCATGTAAGATGTGAAATAGGAAGAAAAGGGCTAAAGGTGTAGGGGAAGTGGGAAGGGCAGGGGAAAGGAAATAATGGAAAAGAGAAAATATGAGAAAAGGGAAACAAAGTCTTTATAAACAGGGAAGGGGGGTGAAGGGAGGGCGGGGGTATGGGTAAAAAATGAGAGCCAAGACCTGTCATGTAAAGGTACAAGCTGCCAATGATGAATGTAACTGTACTGTATACCTAAAATGTACCAATACACTCAATGAGAAAAAAAAAAAAGAAAGACCATGTAAGGGAATGAGGACATTTTCTAGAAAGGGATGAGGAAAGGTAGTAAAAGACAAGTGCATGGATATTTGACTGCTCATGAAAGAAGAGTACAACTCAAAGAGGCCATGACCAAAATATATAAACCTTGAACTCTATGGATAAGACATTGTTATGATTTAGACCTAGAGCATCCCCTAAAAGCCTCATGTGCTCAGAGGTGGGCTTTTGGAAGATGAATAGATCATGAGTGTGCAACACTCATCTGTGGATTAATGCTGACTCTCTATTGAGAGGTGGAACATAATGGGAAGAGTTGGGCCATGGAGTCCAGGACCTGGATGACTGTCTCCCTGCCCACTCCTCCCTTCTCTCTCTGCTTCCTGGCCACTGTGACAGGACCAACTTTCCTCCACTAGACCCTTCCATAGTGCCCCTCTTGCCTAGAAGCTGACTAACTGTAGACTAAATCCTTCAAAAACCATGAGACACCATTCACATTTAATATATGATATTTGTGCTGTGTCCCAGATGGGAGAAAGTGACTAAGACAGAGATGAACAACTTCTGCTGAGCTGGTGGTTGTTGATTTGGGGGCTGAACTTAAATTATGGTAAATGTATTCAACAAGGTCTGAGAAGCAAGAATTAAAGCCCACCTTTTAAAACCTGAGGAATGTAAGCATAAGAAAAATAAGAGGAAGTACTATCTCACAAAATAAAGGTTAGATTAGATTTGTGGTACTCATTAGAAGAAAGGGAAATACAAATTAAGCCCTAAAGGATTTGGAAAAATTTATAAATGACCAAGCCAGAAATAGTAATGAATAAAATTTAAGTTGTAACCAAGCTTTAAAGTTTCCATTAAGCCTTCCCTCTGTGGGAAGAATTCTAAGCAGAGTAGAGGTTGAGGCCTGCATGAGGACTGTCCAAGCAGACTGCTGGCCCTAAAATGACCAAACAGTCACTAGATTCAGAAAGATTAAGCAAATAAATGTATTAAGAATCATGGGGTGTTTTTTTCATTCCCACCCAGCTCTATATGATACAAATAAATCAAGCTGTTAAAAGAATCCAAAAGCTCTTAAAGGAAGGTCTTCTTTTCATGCCCCAAATTGTTACTATCTGTATCTTTAACTGGTTCTGCCTATACAACAACCTGGCACCAAAGAACCATCCTGTTGGGAAGGATCTGCTCTGGTGACTATGATTGCCCAGGTCATTCCCTGCCATGTGGCCTGCATGGCCAAGACAACATCCTACTTACTTGCATACGCCTACTTACTCATAAGTCTCATGTGTCTTCATGTGTTACCTAGATGGACAGACTGGGAGATTCATTAAGAACGGTGAGGAAAAGAGGTAGAAATGGAGAAATGGAGGGGGCACTTCAAATCCAGCAGTCAGCTGTACAAAAATTCTAAGCAGATAAGAGTAAAAGATCAGGAAGAGATCAGAAAAGTCTCCAAAGAACTCAGTATGTGGGTTAGGACAATCACAAGAGCAGATGGTAGCAAGTAGGACAGATGGGAAGAGAATGGAGTCAGTCTCTCGATATTGGGTGCCTCCATCTTTGTGTTAGCATGTGAGGGCTGGCAGAACAAAATGCCATGGAAAGCATAATTTAAACAATAGAAATGTATTTCCTTACAGTTCTGGAAGCCAAGATGAAAGTGTTCTTGGTGTCTCTTGTGATCTACTTAGCTTACATATAGCCAACTTCTCACAATGACTTCACATGGCCTTTTCTCTGAGTGTATGCAACCCTGGTGTCCTCCTCTTTAGACCCTAACAACCTCACTTAATCTTAAATACCTCCTTAAAAACCCTTTCTCCAGATATAGTCACACTGAGTATCAGAGGTTCAACATATGAAATTTAAGGAGACACAATTCAGTCCTAACAGCCTCTAAAAACAAAAAAATTTGGCACCTATACAAGTTTTAAGTGCACAATAGGAGAATGAATCAGGGAACAATGCAAAGAGACCCTGTCCACCTATTTCTCCCTCTCACTTTTCTTAATACCAGTGTCACTTTAATACAAAAATGTTGCACAAGAGAAGAGTCAGAACTGGGAAACTCAAGTAAAACATTCACCAGTAGACCTGCAGAGAAAGAACCCAACCCTATCCACCTCATCATCCTTTTTTTTGTTTTTTGGTACTACGGATTAAACTCAGGACCTTGCACTTGGCAAGGCAGACGCAGTGCCACCGAGCTGAATTCCTGGCCCCCTCACCATCTGTTTTTTATAAGTATAATTATGAAATGAAATAGATAAATCATAAAATTTATATGTGACACTTAAGAAAGTTAATATGCTATCCTAGCTATAATATTATGTATACATAAAAGTAAAGTAATTTATAATAAAATACATTGTATTTCAACATGTAAATACTGGACAAAACTAAAAGACATAATGAAATAGTCTGATGCATGCATTAGCTTCTACTGAATGTTTTCATTTGAGAAAAAAATATCAGAAGCCATTTTGCATAAGAAAAGGAAAACGAATCACTTCTTGGCCTTTTGGCTAAAGTAGTGTAGTATGAGAAAAGGAAAATGAAAGAAGAGTGTTGGTACACCCTGAAATTTATTATAATACACACCAACCTCTGGCAACTTCAGATGTGGAGGCAATAAAAAAAGGGAGGATCCTGCCTGAAAGAACAAAATTTTAAAGAAGTGGCTGGAAAACGAAGTGAATTTTGCAGCTCACAGCAATTCTACATGTTGCAAGGCACCTTGCATCCTTGAGCTCTGCCCCTTACACACTAATGCTTCACAATCATTGCCCCCACAAATTGCCAAAATGAACCCCCAGTGAAAACCACTGACCTGAAAATGTTTTCCTAGAAACAGGCTGCCCTCCTGAATCTTGAATTTCCACTCAACCATCATGGAAATTGGGTTCACTAGCAAGATTTCTTAATTGTCTTTTTTTCTTTTTGGAGGGATGAGGGCTATTATGACTAAGTCTACATAACAAATAGAAATTGAAAAGCTAATGATAATACATTAGCTGTTACATAATCATCCATGAAACTGAAACATTTATGTAAATAGTCCCATCCTTCCACTAAATTGTAAATACTCTGCCAAAAATATTCAGAGTTCGCATTTTCTGCTTAAATAAGTAGGTAATTGCAGGCCTTTTCTATCATGAGATACTTTTCAATTTGGACCTTTTATGCTAAAATTCTAGGAGATTTAGAATATTGAAATCAATTCTCATGTGGGAAAAATCTTAGCATGGGAAAGGAAACAAATGTATTCTGCTACTATTATGTGAATTACTTTATGTATATGATCTCATTTAAACCTTACTACAACACACAATGTGGACAATATGATCTTTATCATCTTACAAATGAAGAAGCTGAGGTTCAGTAACGTTAAGTCTTTTGGCTAAGTCAAAGAGCCGGTTTCTGGTAGAGCCAAGTTCTAGGTTCCTACCTACACCGTACTCTAGAGCCAAGGTTAATACCATCACATTGCCACCAAGAAATCAGAAAAGAAAGCTTTTCTATCATTATTATTATTATTGTTGAAGCCCAGGTACCTTTACTTAAAAGTCCTAAATATAGTTCTACTCAATAAAACTCAAAATCTCTAAGTCCTTATAATCAGAAATATATGAAAAATTGAAAAAACTTACAAAATCTACCTACCACATGTTGCTCTCCTAGGAGTACATGTATGACCATGTACATGAAACTATTAGAATGTTAGATGACTGTGCTGATCTGTCTCTCAAAATGTCTTGTGACTTCCCTTCTGCATACACTCCTGGCCAAAATCAAGGGTCTTGTTTCTTCTGCAGGTCCATCAGTTTTACCAGGGCCTAGAGTATGAGTAGAAAATGTTCCAGGAGCATCACCAGACCACATTCCTGGAAACCTTCAGTCCTTCTTTTTTTTTTAATTAATTAATTTTATTGGTACATTTAAGGCACACAATATAATGACATTCATCATTGGAAAATTGTACCTTTACACAATCCACCTTAGTTCTTATTTTTCCCCAATCCCCCTGCCCTCTTCCAACCCCTCCACCACTCCCTATCTATAAAGACTTTGTTTCCATTTTTTTCTTCTTCTCATATTAATTCCATTTCCCTTTCTCTTTCTCCTACCCCTCCTTCCCCTTTGCACCTCAGAAAAGAAAGCTTTGCCTTTTTTATAACCCATCATATGTCATCTCTAGACTTACTTTTTTCACAAATACCATTTTTATAACCCAGACAGGGTAGATATTGTCATTCTCACATTATAGATGAGCAAACAATACCAGAGAGGTGTGCATTTATCGAGATCACACAGCAAAAGTGTCTAAAGTGAGATTTAAAAACAGAAAGGACCCAAGTTCAATTCCTGGTACCAAAAAAATAAAATAAAATAAATAAATAAAGACACATCACGAATGTTTTACTACATCATTGCATTAGTTGGATTCTCCAGGGAAACAGAGACAACAGAGTACATATAGATATAGAAAAGAGAGGTTTAATCATGGGAATTGGCTCAGACAATTATGGAGACTCAGAAGTCCCTTGATATATGCCATCTAAAAGCTAAGAACCAATAAAGTCAATAGTATAATTCTACTAAAGCCAAACACATGTATGCTTATGACCCAGTATTTCCTCTGCTGGGTAGATCTCCAGCGAAAATGAGTGTTTATGAGCAAGAAAGGACTCGTGTAAGAATGTCACTACCAGCTCTATTGTAGTAGCTCAATGCTAGAAATGACCAAAGTGATCGTGAACACTAAATAATGACATGGCAATGATAAAACACTATGAACAGTGAAAACATGGATGACTAATCACAGATGTAATGTGTTTCCCTATCATATCATTTAACTACTCCAGATCTACAGAAGCTTCGGGCTGTCTTTCCTGGGAGATATAAATGTGCTTTTATGACCCCATACCCAAGAATCAAACTTTATCTCTTACTCCAGCCCTGGGAGCCCCTTGCTTCCAGTCAGGGAACTATCTCCCAACATGCCCGCAAAAAACCTACCCTGTCCTCACTGATTGTCACATAATTCATGCCACATATAATCTTAATGAAATACAAACATGTGCCCTTTATCTGTAATACTTCTTTTATCATATTGTCCTTCCAGCTATCTCCCCAGAGCCCTGGAGTCTGCACACAGTGAACTCTCCATAACTGCTTGGGTAACTTTAATTGGGAAGTGTGAGACGAACTAGTGAAACGATGCAGGATGGTAACAACTACCTGCTAGACCAACTTGAAAAGTAGAATTTAGACATTTTAGTAAATGAACTACACTTTGGTAACTATTACTAATGCTTGCCAACTCAAGAGTAAAGAAAATATTCCTTTTGCTAACTTGCAAGAGCAAAAACTATTATGATAATTATCCCATAGCAAATGCCAGAAATAAGTGGCTAACTTGACTTAATTTTATAGACACTTTCCAAAGTCTATACCCCAGCACTGAAAAAAAAAGAAGGGGGTATTAATATTGCTCAGCTTTTACTAATCCATGAACCCCTGGGAAGAAAGCCTTAGATTTATCCTATAATGGCATCTAACCACTTTTTCTGTGGACATAAAAGAAATTCAATTTCTCCGAATACTGCTACCAGTGAGCTCCAGGGACTGGTAAACTCCTAAAGGAAAACCATAAAACAACTATAATCCAGAGAAAACAAAATCCAGCTAGTTAAACTATCACCAATAAGAAGCATAAACAGGAACCATTTTCAACTGCTTGGAATCAAAAGCTCAATTTTTAAAAGCTTCAAAACAAGAGTTTACTGTTTCCCGGACATCTGCAGTTGAAACAACAAGAAACAGTTCTGGAAACTGCTGTGGTTTACTTCATACTGAGTGATTTCCAGGTGCAGAGGGAAATACTTGGGCAGGACAAAAAAAATGAAATGAGTACGAACCAAACGTTTTTCAGAGCCATATTTATAAGTACCTTTCTCTAGGCTGGTTACTGTCTCTTCACATGTAAGTATAGCATGTGGCATTCAGTATTGTTTATTTGAAAACAGCCTTGTCCTAGGAACAGTTTCGTGCAGATTTTCCTCTAACAATTTCCACACTTGTAGACTTATAGCCCAGAGATTCCCTAGGAGAAGAACCTGGCTTAATATAATTTGTCATTGTCCTCATGTCTGGAGCAACAGGCAGATTAAGAGCTTTTCAGATGGTGAGTGCCACAGCCTGAAAAGCAGAACTGCCAACCAGCTGTGTATGCGCCTCAGACTGTGGAATAAGCAATAAAAAGAAAAAAGCAAAGAGAATTGCCAACTTCTTGCAACATGGAGCCAGAACTGTAAGAGCCAAGCTGGTCATTTTTCCACCCAGCCATCCCCAAGGTTGGCGTCTGACACTAGTGTGGAGAATGACATCAGAGAGGCTCCAGTTACCTGCCTGCCTGACAGGGGGCTCAAAAAATGCCATGGAAGCCAGCAAAGATGGAAGTATGAGAAGAGGAAACTGGTATCTATCAAAGAGCCCCAGCTTTTTGTTAGATTGCTCTTTTGACCAACCGAATAGACTTAGTGTCAGTTGTATTAGCTAGAGTTCCTAATTTGAAAGCAAGATAAAATGACTTTGGCTGGTGTTGTAGGCTAAAAGTTCATCTGTGTGCGCATCCCCCAAAAAAACAATTTTTGGAAATTCAATTTAGGAAACCCTAAACTCCAATATGGCTACATCTTTTGTAAGGAAGTAACTAGAATTAAACATGTTAAGGGAGGTCCTCCATCTGACAGGATCCATACCCTTACAAGAAAAGCCAACAGAAATCTCTCCTTCCCCCCTCCACCTTTCCTTCTCCCTCTCCTATGGGCACAGAGGTTTCCTTTGACTCCATGAGACCAAAGTGGCCATCCACAGACTGGGAAGAGAGCCCATACCAGAAACCAATCCCTGCTAGAGTCTTAATCTTTGACTTCCCAGCCTCCAAACTGTGAAAAAACAAATTTCTGTTGTTCAAGACATAGTCTGTGATATACTGTTATAAAAGCCTGTGCAGACTAATACAGCTGGCCAACTCCAGTCATTTCCTTGTGGCTTTGCCTCAAAAGAAAATCAGGATATTTCTAGGAAAGCAAATGGATTTTGGCTTGTGCAAACATTTTAAACATTCCCTACACTAAATATCATTCCAAATACCTGGTGGGCTCATTATTGCCTTAGTATGCACATTTCGTGTCCACAGGGTGGGATTCTGTGACTACTAATTCACGAAAAGTGAATCCAGAGAACACCTTCCCACAGGTAGAGCTGCAGGGTCAGACTTTTCCTCTGGGCTGCGCACTGATACAACACCTGTGTCTGCAGCTAACTTCCAATGTCAAGACTACATGGTACATGGAGGTCCTTGATTAACAGTACAGCTAAAACAAAATGTAGTTTACTGTGTCCTGTCACGCACTCACAGAGTCCATCACATCTAAATGCCATCTGTCAATGACATTTAATAAACAATTGCTATGAATTATTTTTTGCAAAATTTTATCGATGCTAGCTTATTCCTCAAAACAGCCTGTAAAATACAAAATCAACAGAGAGAAAGTAGTAATAGTTTAGTTTCTACCCTCTATGACCTTGAAAAACAATAAAAACTACTAATTACTTAAATATAAAATAACCAGAGAGTAAATAAGCAACATAAATGATTCTTCTGGCCTTAATTTCCTCCCCAGTTCAGTGAGGCATGGCTGAAATGACCTGGGAGGGACTTGAAGCTCAGAGGATGTCATTCCTTGCCTTCTAATGAGTTTAGTAAACAGATGGTGTGGAACTAGTCAGGGAAGATTTCTCAAAAGGGGACATTTTCAACCTATTCTCAGTCTCACCACAAATTCATTACACTAATTCAATAACATGCCCACCTGGAGGAAAAATCCAATTAGCATAGTTTTATTTGGGCCTCACCTAATTTGACTCCTCTGACACCTGTGCACAGCTTGCCCCACCTTCCTTCCTTCCTTCCTTCTCCTCCTTGGCATTCTTGAATCTCTCCTCTCCTGGTCTTTTCGATCTTTGGCCTCTCTTCTTTTGCCTCTTCTTCCAATGCTAATGACCTGCGCTTGGCTTTTCTCTTGCTCTTCCACAAGTTCTGATTATTTCATTTACCCTGTATCTTCAAACAACTACTTAATCCTTCAGCTTTATCTCTAATGGAGGTTCCTTCTCCAAGTTCCAGATCCACGTCAATGACTTGTTAGATAACATGTTCCCAATTGCTGCAATTGCATTGGATTCAAAACTGAACCCATTGGATCCCCAACCACACCATGCCCTTCTCAAAATTCAATACCTAGTTCAGATGCAACAGCTTGCTCTAGCACCTGGAAGTCCTCAAAATTTCTGCCCCTCACACAATTGGTCTTCAAATTCTGTTCTTTCACCTTCAATATATCTCAAAAGTTCAGCCCCTCTTTTTCATTCCCAGTGTAGTATCTCAGCATTGAGCACTCAAGCTCTTTTCCTGATCACTCTGCCTTCCTATCTACCCATTCCAAATACACCTAGTAATAGCTGCAACATAACATTCAATCATGACACCCTCACACCAGCTCAATCTTCTTAAATTGTCACATAGAAGAGATAAAATCCAAACTACTTTGCATGGCAAAATCTATGTGCAGTACACATGGCTTACTAGACAATTGCTCCTTTCCCCATCACAGCCTGCATCATCCTGAACTGTGCTGTAGTGCTTGACAGCAGGCATTTCTATCTTTATATAGCTGGTCCTTGACACAATGCCTGAATATAGGGGCTCAAGAAACCACCAAGGAAGTACCTGTGAGAGTGGATAAATAAATACACAAATGCTCCTCAACTTAGAATGTGGTTATGTGCTGGTAAACCTACCATAAATCAAAAATATTGTAAGTTGAAAATACACTGAATACCTTGATAAATCCATTGTAAAGTTAAAAAGTCATATTAAAATTAGAAAATGAAGAAGAAAAGGTGTATTTATACAGTATCTTTCCACAAGATACCTACCCACAAAGAGTAAAGTGGTACCATTATAGTGGTGAATCCTGGAAGACTCTAACTTTACTAGACATGTGAACAAAGTCATCACTGGTAATCAGTAATGAGGCAAAGTGACATCAGGTACTTCCTGCTATAATGTACTGAGAAGATAACAGCATTGTGTCTATGATATTTTTGCCAAAAATGCACTTCAGTTGAATTGTGAGAAAGGATCAAACAAACCAAAATTGTGGGATAATCTACAAAATAAGTGGATAATCCTCTCCAACAATGTCAAGATCAAGGAAGACATAATCTAAGGAGCTGTCCTAGATTAAAGAGACTAAGACAATACAACTTCTATGGCTTGCATATGGGCTATCACCCAAAGGGTCCCACATGGTCCCCAGTGTGGGACTGTAGAGATGGTAGACCTTTAAAAAATGGAGCCCAGTGAAGACAATTAGAATGTTAGGCACCACCCTCATAAAGGGATTATTGCTGATCTGAAAAAGTGAATTAGTTCCTTGAAATTGAGCCATAATAAAAGAATAAGCCTTGCCTCTCCCCAGTCTCCGGCTTCCTGTTTCACTATGTGATCTCTTCTTCATCCTCATATGTGCTCCTGCCATGATGCCATCAGCCATGTTGTCAAGTAGCCAGAGGGCCCTCACCAGCATCTGAAGAGATGGGATCACACAATCTTTAACTTTCAGCCTCCAAAACTTTGAATTAAATAAACTTCCTCCCTTTACAAAGTGTCCAGTTTCAACTATCCTGTTATAGCAATACAAAACACAAATAAACAATAATTAAAATCTGTGTTCCCAAATTGGATACTAGACCAGATAAAGGACATTAGTAGGGCAATTTGTGAAATTTAGATAAGGTATATAGAATAAATAATGGTATTATATCAATTTTCTGCTTTTGATTATTATACTGTAGTTATACAAAATATTGTACCAATATTTTGAGAATTTGACAATACGTAGAACTTTTTGTTTTTGCAAAGAACTCCTTTAAAAAGAGAGATAATTTAGAATACACACAGTAGTTCTGGTGAAACGGTGGCAGGGAAGGAAAGGGGAAGAAGGGAAAGAACTGGGGAAGTGAAGGAGGGAAGACATTCCCATGACTTTTAGAGTCATATCTTGAGGAGTTAGTGAGCAGACTGCTCATATGAGAAGCTCTGGCTTGTTCCTCAAAGGTTCATGTTTTGGAGGCCTTCAAAGAATTTTGCCTGCAATCCCAGCATCCTAGGAGGCTGGTGCAGAACTGCACGTTTGAGCCCAGCCTGGGCAATTTAGCAAACCCCGGTCTAAAGATTTAAAAGGCTAAAAAATAAAAAGCTGGGTCAATACGAAAAACCTGGGTTCAATCTCTAGTATTATAATCAATCAATTAATAATGTGTTAGTATCCTCATGAAGGAACTCTCTTCTCTGTTCATGGGAATTTGGTGAACTACGAATTCCCATCCTTTAACAGACACAACTGAATACGAAATCTGGACTTGCCAATAATTACTTCATTTGCATTTTAAAAATTGTTAGAACCATTCTAGGAGATTTCCCCAATGAGATAACATCTTAGTTACTTTTCTCATTGCTGAGACAAAATACCTGACACCCAAAGTTAATGGAGGAAAGGCTTATTGTAGCTCACAGTTTATAGATTCTTCAGTTTATAGCTGGCTGGCTCAGGGCAGGGTAACATGGCACAGGGGCGACACAGGACATCACAGGGGAGAAACAGTTCATAGCAGGCAGAAGGCAGCAAAGCAGCCAAGTAGCAAAAAAGCAAGTACTAAGCTACAACAGCAGCTCTATTCCTTATATTCTACCCAGGATACATACCCTTACAGTGGGCCTTCGCATTATCTACACTCAAAACTATACCAAACCAACCAGTGGACTAACTTCATAATTACACACCCTTAATCCTAGCATCACACACTCTAAATCCAGCCATCTCTGAAAAGTCCCACGTATGACTGCATGAGGCTTTGGGGGGACATGTAGACATAGTCATAACGGAAAATTGATTTGATAAAACATTTGATTATGTCTCTTCAATGCTAGTATTTTCTCATTACAAAGAGATACCACTGACTTAATATTAGTAACATGGGATGTTATGCCTAATACTAACTACTCCTCCATGACCAGCAGCAGCAAGGTCTTTTCGAGATTGAGAAATCCCTCATTAGCCTCTTAAAGAGATCAGGCCTTTGCTCTTGGCCTTGTCAGTTTCTTACTTTTCAGTTCAGAGGCTGACTGGCCAATCCAAGACCTTTCAGGGCAGGTTTATTTCCTGCATTCTTCTACTATGTGTCATTTGCCCATACAAACTCATTTCAGTCAAAAGACTTGTGAGGCTAAGGCTGGAGGAACACAAGTTCAAAATCAGCTTGAGAAGTTTACTGACATTTTGTCTGAAACTAAAAAATATTTTAAAACTTCAGAAATTCCCTGTATTGTGGTAAAGCATTTGTTGACTACGATGGCTTCTAGCAGATGGCAGGCAACAGAGAAAACAGATTTTGATTCCTTCTTTGAAGATCCATAAACTTCCCAGATATTGGCAGAAAGAGCCCAAGAATCTCTCCTAATCCCACAGAATATTAAAGATTAAGAGAGAATAATTAGACCTATGTTACTGCTAACTGTATAAATTTAAGAAATTCTGTATAAAGTTTGAAGTCATAACTCCTTTTTCCAGCTGCACGCACACACACACACACACACACACACACACACACACACCCCACACACCACACACACTCCCTTTCCACTTCTCATGGCCTCTCTGATTTCCATTAAAATTGGGGTACAAATTTTTCTTTTTTTTGAGACAGGGTCTCACCATGTAGCCTAGGCAGGCCTTAAACTCGTGGTGGTCCTCTTGCCTCAGCCTCCCAAGTGCTGGGATTACAGGCATGTGCCACCACACCCTGCCTTGGGTGTAAAGTCTAAAACAGTAAACATTACAGGAATGGGGATAAATGGGAATGCTAGCATAATATCAAATAATAATAAAATTGATTTTATTATTATACACTATATTCACATTTCACAAATTTGAAAAAGCTTAAATACTTATCAGTACTGGAAATCTTTCTTACCTTGGACACAGAATAATTTGCAATGATTCAGAAAATAAGTGAGGCTATTTAGGAACTTTGAAATGTAATCATAAATCAAGAATAGCTGTTCTGACTCCTCTACTATCATTCAATGGGCCAAGGATACAGGCATTCACTCTGGAGTGTTTTTAGGGCTAAATCTTCACTGAACTCCACCTGTCACTGCCAAATTTCTCAGAAACTGCAGGCCCATAGCAGATATTCCTAAGTGATGGCATCATGATGGGAGTGCATGTTGGAGCAAGAGATCGTAAGATAGGAAACCAAGAAGAAATTCGGGGGTCAGGCAGAAGCATTTATTAGAACTCACTCTTTTTACTCTGTTTGTTTGTTTGTTTGTAGTAAATAATGATCACATTCTCCATGGAATGACAACTCAACTCATGCCCTTCAAAGGGCATGATGCCCATCACCTAAGGCCTCCCACAAAGTTCCACCTCTTACTGGCCTCACTGCCTCTCATATCACACTGCGGACCAGGCCTCCAACACAGGAACCCTTGGGGAACAAGCCACATTTAAACCATAGCACCAGACCTACTGCGCATGCTCTAAATCACCTCCCTTCTGGGAAGAATCTAATTTCATAATTCAAATAGAAGCTAGTAGGTGGTCAAATCTCAACGGAACCTTCTACCCCTGTGAATCACGGTAACAGCCATTATTATAATGTTGTCACAGACGTGGACAGAAAATCATCCAGCTGCTGCCTGTTTCTTTTCACATAGTTCTTAACGAATTCCTACAGCTCCTCAGGAGTACTTCAGAGGTCCTACAGAAAACTATTTACCAAGAAATAAAGAAGCTAAAAGGCCATACCATTCCTTTGCCTTTATTAGAGTTCCTCCTACATCTCTGGTTCTTTCTTTCTTTCTTTCTTTCTGTTTTTAAAGTGCTTGGCTTAAGAGAAACTATGAAAACAACTTGTAGTCCAGCTTTCTGATTTTACAGATGAATGACTTGGGATACAGAGAAAGCAAAGAAACAGTGTGGCAATTAGTTCCTCAAGATCTATCCTGCAAGACTGGGATACAAGCAAAACTCTATAAACATTATAACTGACCTTGGGTTAGAGCTGAGGTCACAGTTTCGTAGACTTTGATCCTCTTGGGTCAGTTGGGTGTACAAAGACCTTCTGAGGTTCCTGTCATTGCTCCCTTTGCAAATAACTCCCAAGACGCAGCCTGATGCTATAGACACTAAGGCAGACACAGCTCTGGCATCCTGTATAACGTGTCCATCGATTCCTTGTCTGCAGCAGGGAAAAGCTGAAAGTTTCCCTGAAGCCTACCCATGGACAATGGAATATCTTACAGAAAATAAAAGTTAAAAAAAAAAAAGAAAGAAGAGAATAAAAACTCATTTTAAAATGAAAACAATTTTCTCAAAGCTATAGTCACACTGAAAACAAAATCAGATCTCAGGGTAGTGGCACATGCCTATAATTCTGGATAGAGTCTTGCCCAGGCAACTTAGTGAGACCTTATCTCAAAAAGAAAAGAAAAAAACAAAATCGAGATGATACGTAATTCATGGGAACGTGTGTGTGTGTGTGTGTGTGTGTGTGTGTGTGTGTGTGTGGTGACTCTAGAAAGCCATGGGGAGGGGAAAGTGTCAGCTAGAAAGGTACAGGAGACTAAGCATAAACCTCTTTGAACATTTTGATATGTATCACATGAGTATATTCTGTGGTCAAAAAATGATTTTGTTTTAAATTTAAAAGCCTCAAAAGAATAAACAAAATAAATTTTAAAGCCTCTGCTTCAAATTCTGCCTTGGATTTTTGCTTTCATATCTTTTTTTAAAACCTATAATTTGTTTGCTCTTTATTCCCCCTGGGCACCTTTACCTCAATTTCTATTCCTTAAAAAAAGAACTATTTTTTTCTCCTCTTCATCTAATTTTATAATAAGCTTGCTGCTGGCTTTAAGTTCAAGTGCCCAACATCTAATAAAATATCCCAGTCAGCAGAGAAGATAGCTGCTTCCTGTTGTTATAAAACACTTGGCTTTCATGTTGCTGGCTCCCCTACATCCCTTAATCTAAGGCTACCAGACCCTTCCTTCAGTGCCTATTCAAATGTATCACAGTCACAGTGGTCACTTCTGAACATTTTTACAGGGATAGTTATTGGGGTTCAGCACTTCCCAGCCTTGTGAAAGCCGCCACAATATATCCTACGTTCTTCATGCTAAAAATTCCCTCTTTAGCTAATCATATCAAAAGAACTGAGATTTTAAATTTATAATCAGTCTCCTAGAAAGTATTATCATGGCTAAAATCCACTGTAGTTAAAATAGGTGTATTATATTCCATACTTTGTCTCCTAATAAGTTTTTATGGATGGGAGATCAGGTAAATGCTGGGAATCTCACCCTGCAGTGCCCCCTACTGGTCATTTTAAGAAGAGGCTAAGAAAAGCAATGACTTGGTGCTGTAGTAATAATGCAAGTGGTAGTGTTTTATTTTGTGTTGTTTCCACATATCTTTCAAAGTGAGTATCATTTTTCTACATCTGCCATCCTGGTTATAAA